GAACGTGATTGTCCTCAGATACATCCCCTGCTGCACCAAAGCGCAGCCAGATACATTCTGGGAAGTGCGACATCACAGTGAAGCCCTGGAAATGAAACGGTTGGCAGGGATTGAATGCTCCCCGTCTCTCACGGGGAGCAGAAGCACAAACAGCTGAGATACTGCTTCAAAAAAAAGAAAAAAGAAAAAAACAAACCAAGGGGAAAAGAGATACCAAGCCCTGAACGTGATTGCCGTCAGATTCATCCACTATGCCCACAAGTGCAGCCAGATACATTCTAAGAAGTGCTGACGTTACAGGGAAGCCCTGAAAACGGAAGGGCTGGCGTACACTCATGAAAATTGTTTTCTTCCAAAAGAAAAGAAAGGAAAAACAATGATTTCCTTGTCTTTTCTCTTTTCCCCCTCGTCGCCTTCAGCCTCCTCTTGTTTCCACGTAGCACAGCACCAGGACATCTTACAGTGCATTTGCCCCGTTTCTGTGGGCCCACACATGTCCTCCTCCATTGCACTGCCGGGCCTTCCCAGAGCCCCACAGTTTGGGAAGGCCCCGAAAACTGTGGCGCGTTAACGGGGAAGGCCTACGGCCCATGTATGGGCAAAGTAATGGTGGTTTAAATAACAAACAAATCCATGGGAAGGCACAGCTTCATTAGGACTCGAATGGCAGAGGATCAGGTACTTGATGACAGGTCTCTTCTTGTCTCATGTCAACCTAGCTAGCTAGGCGATTTCCACAGATTTCTTGACGATGACAAGGGGTGACCAACCCTCGGGAATTGATTTTGTGCACCCCATTCAATTTGATTGTTCACTTAGTATATATAGGTATCGTCCTCTTTGACTGTATGTACACAATTGTTTGCCTTGCTCTCTTTCACCCTCAATTTGTTCTGCACTTCTTTTCCTAGCTAAGTTTTCCCTTCTTTCTCTTCCTGTGTACTCTCAGAAGCAGGAGGACAGGAGCTTTGGGGAAACGTCGTCTTTTGCCATTGCCACTGCGATTGATATGTCTGTTTGTGTATCACATGAGTCATTGCTATAGTTGTTGATCATATTGTAATGTGTGCATCTCATTGTCGTGTAATGTTGTTGTTGATCATGTTGTGACGTGGCATTTTGACGATGTATCAGATCATCATG